CCGCAATCAGCCCTGAAACGCAGTCGCCGTTTGTGATGGATCCCGAGAAATATTCGAGAAATATTCGACGTCAAAGCCCGGAGTTGATTTGAGGTCATTTTTTCGGGTTTCGGGATCTTGAAAATATTCTTCTATCTCACCGGTGAACCAGTTGGTAGCCTGTGAAAAGGGGGCAATTCACTATCCGTTTCCTGCCGACCAAAACACATGCATAGTAATTGCGTCCCTCAAGTGGTATATTCTCGGCATGAACAGATCTATAATAATAGATTGATGCATATATAAAGAGCTCGTCAGGTGTGCTTGTCTGCAAGTCAACATTTACCAGCCGTTTTCTACTGCTATTATTTTTTTTTTCCCTTGCTTTTAAATCAATCGTCTGTCGTCTGCCTATACTGTGCATGCCCATACTCTCCTTTAAGAAAGACAAAGATATCCATAACTATATCTCTCTACCAGTGAGGATTTGAGTACAAGGACAGTTTTTGCCTAGTATTAAGACCCCTTTTAAAAGACGTCTGTTGTACAGAGGTAGACCATTACTCTTCACTCTTGCATTGCTCTAATCTTAATGCTATCCTTACAAACAGATAAAGTTCAACTGGGTAAAGAAGGGCTCATTGAACACTGTAGCAAACCCTCGTCGTATAGAAATTCACGCTAGCGCGTTTTGGTTGAAACGTAGACCCGGGCTAGTCTTCACTTCCCAATCTGGGCTGTTGATCAACCCCCAAGTTTGAGAAACGGATGGTCCATTAGTTCGCGGGCTGTCTTTCTTTTCTCCGGAAGCCAGGTAAGCATTTGTCGAACAAAAGATAAAAATGCTTCTCGATCCTGCTCTTCGAGGAACGGGGCTGTGTCCTCTAAGCTTCTGGATGGAATCAATTCACTATTTCGGAATTCATCTTGAACGGAGTTAGTATGCCAGGTATTGCCGTACGGTGGTAAATACACTGATCGATTAGGTCAACTAATAAAGTTGAACACCCACTCCGCCAGTAAAAGAGGGATAGTGACCTAAGGAGTTCTGTAAAGATATTAGAATGTATGCTCTTATTGTAGGCTGCGGCTGTTATAACCCTATTCGGTCATGGTCCAAGCCTCCGAGCACTCTACCAGTACGTAACTAGTTAGTTAACTAACTAGTACTAACGTATTAATAACTAACAAGAAATGTCTCAGGTATTTCACTAGTTATACGTTTCTCTCTATGCATGTAGCTAGGTAATCATTAAGGAAGGAGCTTTCTCAGCATGATGAAGTAGAAGAACCGCTCTGGATATAGCTCGACCCGTGTTCTGATTGATTGTAATAACGCGAAAAGAAAGTCAACTCCTAGTTCCCCGGTTTGAACATGGACTCTGCTGTTCGCATCACAGTAAATCCCTCCTCGTCATCACGCACGTCGAGGTCCCTCTTCTCCAGCTTCACTACATGCGCCATAGACGGACCTTTATCGATGCGCTGGAGGAATTTCTTCATTTTTTCCTCGCTGCCTTGTGCCTCGCCTTCGACCTGATAAGATCCAGTAAGCGCTACGCCTGGGGACATGATAAACATCACTTACCCTTCCGCAAGTAGTGTTCCTGACCCAGCCCTTGAGTCCATCAAGCTTAGCACATTTTTGGGTGAAGTCTCTGTAGTGCGCGATGGTCACAGATTAACCGATAGACTATGATGTCATCTTTTGGGAGGGGGATATTTCCTACCGGAAGCCGACACCTAGGAGTTCATGTTAGGAACAGAGTGAATGACGGTATTTGAAGACTATGGACAAGTCATGAGGTCGACCCACCTTGAACGGTGCCGTGGACTTTGAAAGCAACCTGAAGTAGATAGAATCGATAGAATATTAGTAAGGGAAACTTGTGGCTCTCGGTGTGCTGCGGGCTGGCAGCCTGGCGATGTGCATAGCAATAGAACAGAATGAGAGATATGGTAAAGGACATACTCGTATGTTTGACATTCTGAATGAAGAAAGGTGTTTGGTTGACAAGTTGGAGGATGTAGAGTTGAAGTGTACAAGGTTGATGTCCCTGGAGAGCATTGTGGGTGGCCCCAACATATAGTTGACGGTTGATATTTATACAATCCTGCTCTTTTAGATAGCCAAGGTTATGAGTTGGATATATACTATTTACTCTATATATAAAGTTATATATATATTTCAAATCTATAAGTAGCACTCGATTTCGTGTAAGCTACAACATTGACATTGTACACATACACCCTGTTCCCCGGTGATTGGCCCCCACAAAGTTACATATATTGCTTTTACCTCCAAGGGCCAACCCTCCAAATGTCATTTATATCGATTCTGCAAGAATGGAGTATGGAGTACTTCGGATTGGAAACTGGATCTGTGTTATACTCGATGTGATATTGGCTGTTGCTGATTGGGTCCGCATAAGGATCTACAACCTTACAAGGGTACGAAGTAGACAATTCCTCAATTAGTATTTTGATATATAAGATAGAAATCTATTTCGTTTTGATTTTAGACTGTAAACTATTAGTTTCGTGTCGAGAGAGGATACAGGTGAGGCCACGCGGTCCCTCCGCCCCTGAGACCTGAGATAAACACCGTAAACACTCTGGAATCTCAAACCTTCCGACTTCAACTTCTCCCCAAACCTGCGCCGGACATGCTATCGATATAAAATGCCCTCTATTTTCGCCTGGCTTCGGCGGGTCTACTCGCTAGACACCCTTGACACTCGTTTTACCTCCTCCGCAACCCCTGCCCACACCAATACACGACCGTCCTCCAAAGACACCCGTAATGCAACCACCCAGGGCGCGTCACCTTCACTTTGGCGCACACCAGAATTCTTTGTTTATTACTTGTTCTTTATTATCCTTGTCCCATTGATGTTTAAGACTGTCATCGACGTCTCAAAGGGTAAGTGCAGCAGGTCAGGGAAAGAAAAATGCTGGGACTTGAAATTCTGACTGGGGATCAACGTCACAGAAAGCCACCCTACCTACTCCACATACTCTCACCTTCTATCACCTGGTTGGATTCCTGGCCGTAAAGTGGTAAGTGTGAAACACTCGACATTTAGCTACCCACATCCATGAGGCCAGTTCCGACTGACATTATTGCTCCAACACAGGACAACTCCGATGCGCAATATGAAAGCTTTCGCGACAATATCCCTGCCCTTCTACTACTCTTAATCGCCCATCCTTTGGCTCGTCGCATTTACCAGTCGTACATAAACCGCTCGAATGTCGAAACAAAACAATCGAGCCATTCCGTGATTGGTGCGGGGGAGGCGCAACTTGAACAGCGAATGCGCTTCGACTTTTGGTTCGGATTGGTCTTCATAATAGGACTTCATGGAGTATCCGCTTTCAAAGTGTTGTTAATCCTGTATATCAACTTCCGAATCGGCAAGGATGTTCCTCATGCCTACGTCCCTACCGCCACATGGATCTTCAACCTCGGCATCTTGTTTGCCAACGAATTAAGCGGTGGTTACTCCCTTGAAGGGATAGCGAAGGTGTTCACTTCAGGGTCTGGAACCTCAGAAGATGGCGCCACCGTGCTAGTCCAATGGGGTCAGACTCTAGATGACCTCGGGGGACTGATGCCGCGATGGGAGGTCCTTTTCAAGGTCACGGTGTTGCGCCTCATCAGTTTCAACATGGATCATCACTGGAGTGTAGACTACCCTGCGGCAAGCCCAATTGAAGTAAGTTCTTCCCGAAAATGGTGGATGAGCCACCAATCCCCATATGACAATCAAACTTACCGAATTCTATAAGAAGAAGCAACTAGACCCTGCGACCCTCTCTGATCGTGACCGAGTTAAGATTCCCGCAGAACCAAAGGCTTTCACATTCCGCAACTACATCGCCTATATCCTCTACTCACCATTGTATTTGGCTGGTCCGATCTTGACATTCAACGACTACGTATCTCAACAGCGATACACAGCGGCGTCCCTCACTAGATCTCGTATCATAATGTACGCCGTCCGCGCTGGTCTCACTTTGCTCTGCATGGAGCTTATCCTCCACTATATTTATGCAGTAGCAATCTCCAAAGCTGACCCAAACTGGTCCGTCTTCACTCCGGGGCAACTGAGTATGCTCGCCTTCTTCAACCTGCACATAATCTGGCTGAAGCTCCTTATCCCCTGGCGATTCTTCCGTCTCTGGGCCCTCCTAGATGGAATTGATCCACCAGAGAACATGGTCCGCTGCATGTCTAACAACTACTCCGCCTTGGCCTTTTGGCGTGGTTGGCACCGCTCCTACAACCGCTGGATCGTCCGTTACATCTACATCCCACTGGGCGGTGGTGGTGGCGGCGGACGGCGGGCACCAGGAGCACCCAAACCAGCTTCACCTCCTCAGTCCAAGTTCATGGGTACGTTCCTACAAATCCGCAATTTCCTGCTGGTCTTCACCTTCGTCGCCTTATGGCACGATATCAATCTCCGCCTGCTCATGTGGGGTTGGCTCGTTACTCTCTTCGTTCTACCTGAAGTTTTGGGCGGAATGATCTTCCCGGCCCACCGTTGGCGCTCTCATCCCACTGCGTACCGTGTCATCTGTGGCATTGGCTCTGTTGGGAACGTCCTTATGATGATAATCGCAAACTTGGTCGGCTTTGCGTTGGGTCTAGATGGATTAAAGGATCTACTTGCCAGCCTCACGGGCTCATACTCTGGCCTGGCGTACATGGTTTCCTGCTGCGTCGTACTTTTCGTCGGCGTGCAGGTTATGTTTGAAGTTCGCGAAGACGAACTCCGCGCGGGCATCAACCTGAAATGTTGAGCCTTTTCTATACAACCTTTTTTGTTAGCATACTTTAGAAAATTGATTTCGCCAAGAGGCTATATCGAGATGAATATACATTTTTGTTTTAGAAGTCACATTAATATTTATAGTATTGTACATTTTGTTGGTATCAATTCATAAAGTCATCAGTAGAACAAGGCCAGGTCAAGCTCCATCTCAATAATACACACACACAAGGACACCAACCCCTAAAAGAAAGCACCACACCTCGAATCCTCATGAACCTTATAACAATCCAAGCTACAAGTCCTTAAATGACAACTCTTACACCGAATCTTCCCCCAATACCCACACATACAACAAAAATGCCGTCCGGGCCTCCCCGCCGCCAGCGGCTTCGCCCGCGACGCATTATAAGAAAGCGGCGGTTCGGCCAACAACCTCTGCATAAGCCGATCAGAAGGCACAGGCGGCGCATACGACCGTAGCAGCGGATCATTATCATATTCCGACTTAATAAGTTTCGGTTTTCGCGCCGGCTCCTCATCCCCCTCCATTTCCGCATCCACAGTCTCCCTCGCAGGCGTCGACGTCGTCCCAGTAATAGTTCCCGACACAGTCGCCGACCGCTTAACGCCTGCCGTACTAGCCGGTGTCGCGCTGCGCCGTACAGCAGCAACAGCAGCAGTAGCAGTCTTTCCCCCTTTGCCGCGACGATGCTTGCGCCTCCCGCGCCCTGCATTCCTGCCACACCGCCGCTGCCGGATGCTATTGCTGCTTCTTCGTCGTCGAGGTGGTTCCGGAAGGTCTTTTGGGATTGGAGGATGCGGCGCACGTTCGAGGTGGTTTTTGCTCGTGTGCCGCGGGCGCCGGCTTCGCGTGCTTGTTTCACCGGTGCTGGGATGGCGACGTCGCGTTGGTTCTCGCGGTCGAGCTCTGCGATGTGTCGCGCGATGGCGTTCGCTTGTCGTGAGGTGATGTCGCCGCCCTTGCCTGCGTCCCGGATGCCGCGTTTGCGGCCTAGGGTTGGGGCCATTGCTTGGGTTGGGTCGAAGCCTCGGGTTGGGGCGTAGGACCAGCCTGGTGTGGCTGTTGAGGTGTCTGAGACGAGTTCGACGCGGAACATTTTGGGAGGATTTGGTGTGTTGGGTGGTTTGGTGATGATGCGGAAGTGGATGGGTTTCCGGGGAGTTTGTTGGAGATGAAATGTTTGTCTTGTTTGCATCAGAGCTTTGGGAGTTTGTAAGAGGATAAGAGGACAATGTACAGAGCTACAGATTTAGTTGGAGTAATTATTGGGAAAGGAAATGCTGATATTGTTGAAAAAAAAAGGTAGAACGGATTTCATGCAAAACAAAAGAAATAAAGAACTATATATGCCCTGGCCATCAAAGAGAGTGATAATGGGCGTCATGTCCAGGGTTGACAGACTTCATGCACAGAAAACAAAACACACCCAACACCTCGAAGCCATAATAAATGCACATATGAAAACATACTGATGGAGTACTTATTTCTTTTTGTGCAGTTGGTCAACTCTGCCCTCTAGTTCTGTAATGTATGACTGGAGCTTGATAGTAGCCTTTTGAAGTGCCTAGAAAGCAAACAAATCAGTTCTGTTAAGATCAAACTCCAAAAGAGACAATGCAGAGGGTCTTCTCCGAGTACTCAGCAGTTGGGAAGCTATAGACATACCGAAATGTCATCAGACAACATCTCATTGGCGACTCGGTACTCAGCTAAGATGTAATAGTACACCGACGCGCCGGCGGCGACAGATCCAGTCAGGAACCCGAAAACACTATCGGATGTTAGCAAAAGTGCCTGGAATCTGTGGCCATCTGACATTGAATGTCAATAGAAACAGGGGAATTTCTCATACCCCCCTCGGAAAGCTCCAACAGGCTTGCTTGACGGGAGCGGCACGGCGGACTCCCAGCGGGCGCGGGAGGATGAGAACGAACGGATGCCGAGGCGTCCGCCCAAAGGGAGAAAGATCTTTGTGCCAAGTGGCATATTGACAATATTATTTCAAAAGTAGAGGGGAGATTTATGGATTGTTTGGCGGAAAGATGGTGGCAAGGGGAGTTGGAAAGTGACGTTGATGAAATACGGAGGTCCGGGCGGCTTCGGAACTTGGAGACCTGAGAGGCCTTTTTGTATACAAACACCCCCTTAAGGGGAGAGAGAGACTACACCCAGAAACAAATATATATATTTGGAATTCGCTTGGATATAATATCTAATAGGAAAGCTGAGGTACATGATTTATTGCTTCCCTTAATTGGCCATTGTACTCTCGTTAAAGAGATCCGCCAAAAGATCGTCTCGGCACACTGTCAAATCTACGCTGCCCATGCCGTACGTACTCTCAAACACATAGATACTCAACCGAGTGAAGAATGGTCGCAGAACCCTCTCGACAATATCGTCCTTGGCTGTCTCTCGGATCCAGTCTGAGATGAGCCATGGCTGCTTAAGACCACCGCGAGCCGGGGGTTCAATAATCTCGGTGGGGACAGTGGGGGAGCTTGCACCGCGTGGACCAAAGGACTGAGAAACTTCATCTGCCAGAGCAATGGGCTCCCAACGGTCCGGTGGATAGACTGCGTCAATGGTGTCGGTTACGAAAAGCCACTCAAGGAGCTGGAAGTCGTCTGGGGCGAGGATAAGCAGTATGTCGAGAAGCTTACACGCTTGAAGCAGCGAGTAAGAATTGTAGACCTCCGGCTGAGAGCCCTGAGGTACTGCAGAAATGGCTTCTTGCAGCTCCACGTTGATCAGGGGCCAGAATGGCGCCATGGCGGAAGCAGAGGTCTTGAGCGCGACTGCCCGAAGAACCATGAACACTTCCGCCCGAGTAGCAGAAGATGGCGACGAGGCGCTGGTTGCCGCAAGAAGATCTTCCAGTTTCTGGAGCAATGCCGGTAACTCACCAACGAAGTAGTCATCGCTGGCGGAAAGCAAGAGTAGCGCGATTCGCCGGAGGTTGAGCTGCGCTTTGCGATCGGCCTCTAATCGGGCTGCAGATGCTCCTACGCCGAACATGATACCCGCTGAGCTTGGTGGTGGAAGGCGGACAAGAAGTTCGGATAGTCGTTCCTTGTCAGCGAGAACCCACTGTCGCAACAGGTCCATCCAGCTGTTCTTCACCAAGTCCAACTGCAATCCAAAGAATCGGGTATCATGGAATGCGTCCGCTATGTCCTTCTTCCACATTTTCGCCGCAGCTGGTACTTTTGCCATTTGCTGTAGAAGTACCATGACATTACGGTTGAGATTGTTAGGGAAGAGACGTGACCGAATGAGAGGCCCAACCACATTAGTTGAGACACTAGTAATGGCGGTGTTGATTCGGTCTGAATCACCTAGAGTCGTGATAAACGACGGCATCGAGACCGCCAGAATGCTCAGCATGTCATCGGGTCCAGTATGAGAGACCGAGGTACGATCATGATCCACCGAAGATCTTGCCATAGGCCCAGTGTCGTGATTCAGGCCGAGGGGCTTGCTGGTAAATACTGCGGTAAGGAGTCGTAGGAGGACATCCTGCGTTATAATTGTTAGCAACTGTGATAGAACCAGCAGTGAATACACATACCCCAAGTTCTTTTCGCATACGGCGGTCTTCGCCGAAGGTTGTATTCTCCAATTTCACCCCCAAAATAGCCGCGAATTCAATCAGACGTGGAAGAATCTGCCGGTGTGGGAATGGATTGCTAAGAACATCGCGTAAGAAAGTCGTGCAGTCCGTCCAAATCTCGTCAAGAACATCATCGTCCAATGAGCGGGCATAAGTAACCAAAAAGCTAGCAAGCTCGGACTCAGAGAGATTGGACGTTAACGAGGACTTCCGGCTAGGATCCAATGCACTAGGATTAGTGCGAGTGTAGATTGCATTGAAAATGGCAGGGATGGTGATTTTTGGGCTTGACCCATCGAGTGTGTGGAGGAGATTGAAGATAAGTGATGCTGTCTCCGTATCAGCCTTGGTCCACATTTCCACCAAGGTCTCAAGACATTCAAGTGCCTCTGCGGTGAAAAAGTGCTCTAAGATTCGGCGTGAGCGGTTTCTCATTCGCAACGAGGTGTATTGGAACGAGGCCAGAGATTCACAATCGGGAGGAGAGTCACTGTGATCTCCTGCGCCCCACGCCCAGATGGAGAAGCATAAGCGAACAGCATCTTGGAAACAGAGAAGGACAGTCAAGCGGTCGTTGGCGGTATTTGGGCGACCTTGCCCACCTTCCGAGTTAAATACCCCAGACACCATGTTTCCGAAAAAGCCCTGCGCTTGATCAGGGCTCTTGACTGTTGGAACGTTGGACTCTTCCACAATGAGACGTTCATGGGCATTTGCGATACAAGTCTCGAGACCAGTCAGGAGAGCAATTGTGACATGCTCGGAGCGGTCCTGCGGCCAATCCTCTGTTTGTTGGAAAGAGAGCTGAAGTCTACCATATGATGCCCGAATTTCTCTGCAGAAACATTCCACAAGCATCAATAGAATCTGGAATATGGAACCTGAGTAAAGAGGGAGAACCTCACAGAGCAGCACTATCCATTTGTCCACAATTTCTCGGGACTTAGGTGAGCTAATTCCCTTTAAAAGACAATCCAGAAGCCGCTGTGGCGGATGCGGTAGCTGCGGTAGTGATTGTCTCCTGTCTCCTTTGTCACTAGTGAAAGACAAGATGGAAGGACTAGTCAGCCGATCTCGAGAGCTAGCTCGTAAATGTTTTGGCCGAGGTGGCGGTGGTGGTAGATATGCTTGCGCAAATCGCACCTTCAATGCAGCAAGGAGTGTGTCGATTAGTGCACCCTGGACCGCAATACTGCCCCCCTCGGAAGACACAAGAAGGCGCTCCACCAAGAAATCATCAATGCCGGACTCCACTAATTCCTCCGCTCTGGGCCCAAGAAGAAGTTGCCGCATGAGCTGAAGTGCGTCCTTGTGTAGTCGTTCTCCATCTAGATTAATTTCCACAGGAGCTGGGGATAGTGTGCTGACAATTCGAAGAGATGCCTCAAATATGGCGGAATGAAGGCTTTTGAAGTCTGCTTTTTCTATCCAAGGGTCCCGATTAGCAACAGTTGTTTGTTTCGTGAGAAGACAAATTACCCACCTTCAGATTTGGACGTTTCAAGGCGCTTCTCATTTCCTAGCACATGAGTAAGAAGTGCGATCCATCCATTGTGCGAAAGCGCGGAGATGATATTTGAGGCTGTCTGTAACAGATAGTCGCATTCTTTATAGTCATCCGGAGAAATTGAGTGGTTGTCTGTCTTTTTCTCGCTGATTTCATCAGGTTCAGAAAGCTCATCAAGATTCGAGAGGACCACATGGAAAACCCTGATAAACTATTAGATGTGAATAATGCGCGGGGACGAGGGACTGACTTACTTGTGGACAGATGGCAAGTCTTGCAGCCATAGTTGAACGCTCTGCGAACTATCACTTGACTCTTGGGAGAGAAGATCAAGGACAATGAAAAGCGGGCGTTCAAGCATGGAGCATTGATAAGAGAACAAGGTTCCTCCAACATCAAGCACTTGCTTTGGCGGCTGTTCGTGTGTATTGTGATGACTGTGGTTCCACAAAACATAGAATCGCTCAGCTTGTTGCTCCGACGAAAGGTGGCGGGATGCTGCAGTTGACACATTGACCATCAAAGCTGCCAAGGACGCCTCAACAAGGTGGTCAACCCAGGAAATTGAATGCAGGAGCCATAAGCAGCGGACGGCTTCCACGTGAAACTTTGGACTAAGGGGTGATAAGTACCACCAAAGCCGGTTGACAAGGGGAGTAATCAAATCGCAAGCATCCTCATAGCTGACGTAGAAACCAGGAGTCTGAATGAAAAACAAACTCGTCACTGTCGAAGAAATTGTCGATATAACACAGAACGAGGCGGTTGTTGGCTTGTCCTTTCCTGAACTTAGTCGCTGAGAAAGCGCTTCATACAGTTTTCGGTCCCGTAGAACGCGGGACTTCGGAAGCTTCTTGAGCAAAGTCACAAGAATATCGAGTGGTTCGTGAACAGAAAGATTGCCGTCGTAGCTTCCTAGCGCGGCGATAGCTAGGTCGTGAGCCTCTCGAATGATCATTTCGCCAAGGTTCTTAGGAGCATAGGGAAGAGGTGGAAGCTCCAGGCTATTTTTGCTTTGTTCATAGAAACTGTGGACAGTTTTCAAAATATTGGTACCACGGCCCTTTGTGTCGTTGCCAGCGGTCTTCTCGGAGCTTATCTTTCTCGAGAACGCCCGTTCTGTAAGTAAAGCAGCCAACGATTTGAGAACTTTGTTTAATGCGGCGGTCACAGCCTGTTTATTGGCAGTGCTCTCCTTGGATGAAATCTCTCTCATCTTCACAAGCACTGACAATGTCAGCAGAGGCACATGGATCTGAACCATGTCCTCCTCGCGCACATTGAAATTCTCAATAATGAATTGTGCAAGACCCAAGTCATGCAACACTTGGTCGCTATCACCGTCTACATCAGAGGATCGGTAATCAACCAACCCCAGAAGCTCGGAGAATATCACACCACTTTCAACACCATCAAAAAAGGCGCCCGCACTGCGGAAAACCTCCTCGAAGTGGTTCTCGGGGGCTGTGGATTCAAATGCCTGAACACTGCGTACGGTGGGCAAGAAAACTGCAGGGACAATGTATCCACCAATTTCCCAACGATCCATTAGCGACAGAGCTATGCGAAAGGGTTTGGTTCTTTCAGACGGGGCACTCGGCGCCTGTTTGATCATATCCAGTAGACCAGTAACCAATGGCTGTAAGCCTACCCGGCTGAAGTATTGTGATTGTGTGAGCTCCTTTCCATCAACGGAGACAGACCGAGTGGTGTCTTGTGAGAGTTTTCGATCGTCGATCGAAGAGCTATCGTTTGGGGAATCTGGTCCTAAGAACCAAGCCCAGAGCCGGCGGTTCAAGCTCATGTCTCGCCGAGTGACCACCCCCACTGCTGCAACCACCAACGTTCGAAGATCACGAGCTGCAATTTTGTTTTGCAAAATCGGAGAGCTGAGGGGAAGGTGAGTGACAAGGAGATCGAGGAAGTTACGTTGGACAAGGAGCTGGTCGTCAGATAAGCCTGATGCAACACATCGAATCAAGAGGCCGGGCTCCGGTAGAATCACAGAGTCTGCTGCGGCCAGTATCTCAGGTGGGATGTTCTGCAGATCGTCCCCACCAGCCGTGCTCGGTCGACGATCTGCGATACCTAGCTTCGGGAGGTACCGGTTCAAATATGCGAGGACACCAAGCCGTCGACTAGGGTTCGTGATAGATGCGAGAAAGAGGCATTGCCAGAAATATTGCCCAGATGCCCCGGCCTCAGACGTCCTTTGTGTTTCAAGTTGTCCAGCAGCATCTCGCAGTTTATTAAACGTGCGTAGTGTTGGCTCGAAGTCATCACTTGTCTCCTCTTCAAGGCCGGGAAGTAGGGCTAGAATGATTGCTTTCAATGCGGGACGGATGGCCCATGGTTCCAGATCAACGATATATCCCTCCACCAAAGACAGGAACAATGGGCGGACAGTAAGAGAGGCGAAAGTCAATGTTGGCGCGAGGCCGGGAAGATACAAAGGCAGGTCGTGCGATAATCCCTCGAGCTGGTTGTAAACAGATGCATCAGTAATCACACTGTCAGCCTTTCAGGTGGCTACCCATACCTTTATCAATCCAAATATGTATGTGTAGACTTCAAGGGTCTTTTGGTGCACGCCTGATGGCAACGATGGGTTCAAGCACTGGGCGAGTCGCTTCGACACTAGCACTTTATGAGGGACGACGGGCTGATCGGGTGGGTGGGATTGGAGCGCCTAATAGCTGATTATCAGTGATGCTGCAGAATATCGCTACTAAGTCGAGCGAGCTCACCTTTAACAGACGACCGAGGAACGAGATATAGTCGGCCCATTCTTGGAGAGCGTTGTCAAAGAGCGAAAGCGCCCGTTCAACACTAGACGCATATCGGCGATAGTTCTTGTCTTTTTTGAGGGACCCTACAACCACCAGATATGATCAGACACAATCCTCTCATGTAATTCTTGGGGTGGGCGCATACCTTCCTTGCCTTGTAGACGGGAGCGCGTCAAGGAGCTCTCGGAGCTTGCGGGGGAGTTCGACCTCGGAAATGCACTGGGATCAAGGCTCATGGTGCCAACGACGAACGTAAAATTGATGTGAAAGCTTTGAACTACCCTCCGTCATATTTAGGACATCAAAGATGACCCTGTGGGAAAGGGAGTTCGTGGTTGAATGTTGACCAAAAGCCACGCAACACCGGCGGCCACGTTCAATTGTTTTGTTCCGCCTTGGGGTAGCTCCGGCTCGCCGACGTCAACGTCCAGCAACTATCAAATCGACAAACACAACTGATCAAGGACTCCAAATATTTGAAATCAACAATGAGCATTTAATGACCTGAAGACCCGCGACGAGCGACCGCGTCACAAAGCGCATGCCCGCAGCGGGGATGAATACACAGCCAGACTCAAAGACCGACGGCGAACAGCCTGTCGAGACCTCCAAGCAACCGTATATTTCCAGGCCATCGATCCCAGATGACGATGCGCGCAGTGTCAGCTCAGAGGGAGAGCGGCCACCTTTACCCCCACGACCAAATACGTTGAATCTATTGAACGATGAGACGGGCCCGCGGGTAGCTCTACAGGCAGAGGCAACGACGGCTATCTCACGAACCGATATCGAAACACAATATCCAGAAGTTGCTAAGAGCCCTTGCTCTACACTGTCTGTTCGCAACCTGGCCAAGGGTCCAAAGGCCAGGGCGAGCCTCAGCCAGTTGGCGAGCCCGCGCGGTAGCGAAGCTGGTGATTCCGCTAGCATTAGAAGCTCAATCCCAAATGGTGATTCCGGGGATGTTGAAGCGCTATTCATGGACTTTGCTGCTACAGCGCCCGGTAGTCAAAGTCAAGGTGCTACGGGTCTACTTGACTTCCCTGAATTTGCGGCCGACGATATAGATGACGATGGAATTCTAAGTGAATTCGAAGCAGTTGGTGAGCTTAACGAGGGAGGTGATAATGAAGGTTTGTGTTATTGATTAAATCCCTTCGTTTCATAATACTAAGGCATATATCAGAGCTCCTACTCCAGCGATGGAAAGCAAAGCGCAAGCACTACTTGATCCTATCTGCCGCTGGTAAACCGATTTGGACAAGGCACGGCGACAGCGGCCTGATATCTGGCTATGTCGGCGTCATCCAGACCATTATCTCATTTTATGAAGAAGCAAATGATCATCTGCGAGCCTTCTCCGCTGGTGACACAAGGTTTGTTGTATTGACACGGGGATCTTTGCACCTCGTTGCAATCAGCCGTATGATGGAGAGCGACAATCAGCTCCGGCTTCAACTGGAAGCATTGTATATGCAGATCTTATCTACACTAACATTGCCTTCTTTAACACATCTCTTCTCTGTGCGGCCTTCTACTGATCTATCGCGGCCCTTGCAGGGTTCGGAGTCCCTTCTCTCATCTCTGGCAGACAGTTTCACTCGGGGGTCTCCATCGACTTTGCTATCGGCTTTGGAGTGTCTGAAAATCCGCAAGCAACATCGACAATCCATCAACAATGCACTTCTGAAAACTAAAGCCAGTAGTCTTCTGTATGGCTTGCTTGTGGCCGGCGGACGACTCGTTAGTGTTGTCCGACCGAAGAAGCACTCCTTACATCCAGGCGATCTACAGCTCTTATTCAACATGGTTTTCGAAGCCGATGGGGTTAAAGCCGGTGGCGGAGAAAGTTGGATTCCCGTCTGTTTGCCTGGCTTCAACAGCAGCGGCTATCTCTACATGTATGTGAGCTTTCTCGACATTCGTGACGACATCGAAAATAGTGCAGAAATCACCAAAGACGAGTCCGTTGCCATTGTTCTTATCAGTCCTGAAAAGGAGGCTTTCTTTGAGATGCAAGGAATGCGTGATGCTCTTGTGGAGGTGAGATTGAACATTTCTACATGAATGAATGCGGTACGTAGTACTAATGATACAACAGCAAATGGAGAGAAACGGCAGTCTGAAGGAGATCAAAACGGCAATTGACAATGGCCGACCCGCGACTACTGATATAGTTCCTGGAACTGTACTCCATCATTTCCTTTATAAATCGCGCGCCAACGTACAATTCACTATGTCATCGTATGCCCCCGAATTCTCCTCGGTCACTCGACGACGAAGGTGAGCAACAACCCCTCTGCTGTTTTTGAATGCTCAGTATATTAAATGATTCCGTCTGTGCCTATAGATTGATGTCGATATACAACAACTTGCATGCGAGCATCCATGCCAAGAATACCCACGTCAAAGTTCATCACTGTGTTTCACGATCAGCTACTTCGTTCGGATGGGTAACCCCTGTATTCGAATTATATTGCATCGCTGAGCCGAACACTAATCGGAGTGCCCTTGCCCAAAGTGCTAGCAAGATTGCTCAGTGGGTGCAGCGTGAGGAAGAGAGGCTATTCATCATTGGTGGTGCGGTACGTACCTTGTTACTCTCCCTGGTTATTCCAGCAAGAGCGCCAACACTGATATTATCGAACAGGTTTTCTGATATCTTCGCACTCAGACAATGAAGGAAGACTATCTTGTGATTTATTATACCCAATATTGCGTCCGCGCCAACTCTGCATCTGCATTTGTTTCACTGTACCGTATCTTGTTCTATTTCTACATCTCAAAATGTCTCGTAAAAAGTACTGATAGTGTTCTGAGTTCATCAAGTTGCTATCAAACCCATGGTATGCATGCAATGAAAGACGGCATGTGGATTAATCCAAAGTGTCCTCCCTCAGGTTAAAGAGCTGACGCATGACCTCACCTGACTTGCTGCGCAGTGCATCGTGATACATGGTGTTGGTGATAAACTGCTTGGAGTTCTTGATCTTGGCAGCTGTGGATGTAGCCAGATCAAAGTGAACATACATATCATCGATGTAAGTTGCAGCATAGACCGGCACCTTGTTCTTTGCTAGTTGAGCTTCGTCATACAGGGCCGGCCATTCGTCTGTCGTAGCCAGAATTTCAGCGGCTTCCTTGAGCTTTGCAAGTTCTGAGTAGGACTCGAACATATCCTTGTAGACCTAGAAGGTAAGAATTGGTGTGAGATATTTTATTGAAATGTTTCTGGACTGGGTTGGGTTATTTACCATCTCGCCGGTGAAGTAGATCTCAGGCAGCGAGCCATTGATCTGGAATTGCGGGTCGCTAGCGCGCAGCCTGTCTGCAGCCCAGAGCGACGGCTTTCTGTATTCATTGTTAGACACGGATATATCATCAAAAGTGGACGGCACCGAAAACTTCTTCTTACCCTTGGCAGTAGATTGATTCGTGCAGAACGGCATAGATGATGTTTTTGTCCATACCGCCATTGCTGTCAATCACGGAAAGAGTCGGCAGAGTAAGGAATCCGAACATCTCCAAGTCGTTGGTGACTCTGACAACAATATCTAGACTTAGGTTAGTATTTTTACTGCGAACTTCAGAAGACAAAGCAAAGTTTACCGTGCAGACTATCGAAACCACCTAGGTTATGTTAGCTTTGATAGACTGATTTTCTAAGTCGAGGGTCTTACCATGAAAGCCGAACATAATTCCCAGTTGCTGGAAGCGAGACGGAGTGAGCACTCCGGATGCCAATGCAACCTTGTTTTGGGTCAGGTATTGCATGATGTTCTTAACACGGTCCACATCCTCAGGGAACTTCTGGTAGTAAGCCTCGTTTCTCTCCTTGACCTTCTCTGTTTTTGTGTCAATTTAACGAATTTACCAGCCCAGGAAAACAGGGGAGCATACCATAGGTCTTTGTGTAGACAGGATCCGGTCCGTTCGTAAGCGGGGGAAGGCCACCAGTAAGGAAAGCTTCTCTCAGACCCTCCGGGCTAGAGGTTCAGTAAGGTCAGCGGGGTGGTCAAGATCCGAATATGGAGATGGATTGATTTCAGAACATACAACTTTGACAGGTAAGTCACGGCACAGAAGCCACCGAAACTTTGCCCAAGGATACTCCACCGGCGCTGGTCAGTCGGATAGTCCTGTGTCAAGACATCTCGAATGGCCTCGCAATCACGGACAATGCTGTCTGCACGGAAATTCTTGAGATACTCAGCCTGCTTGATTGCATCCCCCTGGCGGGCAAGGGTTCCAGCTGTGAGAGTCGAACTGAGGCCAGTGCCTCGTTGGTCCAGAAAGAGCACCTAGGGAATCGTTGAGCATCAATCTATAAACAATATCATGTAAAAACCACACACCTGATAACCCTTGCTGAGCACGAATTCCACCCAGGGGTAAGACTGCGGGGCACCACATCCAAAGCCAGGGCCACCTTGCAGATAGACCAGCCAAGGAAGCTTTCCCTCTTTGGCTTCCTTGCCCTCCTCTTTAGCAGGCTCAATAGGTTTGTTCCAGCGACTGATACTTCGTGCAAAGAGCCTCAGCTTTTCTCCGGCAGGCTTGCTGTAGTCCACAGGGACATCGAAGAACAGCTCGGAAACCCGAAGTTTGCCTAGATAAGGTGAAATTCGTCAGTTTCAACCCCAGTGGGCTAATTAGTGATGAGAAATAAGGGGTTATAAACCTGAAACATTATGGAATCGTCGATCAATCAGTTTCGCGGCCATGATTGCGATGTTGATGTGGACTAAAAACAGAAGTCGCGTTGGTGACAAGCCGCTTTGCGGAGAACCACATGTTTTTAGTCTAAGCTGTTCACCCTTGCAATCACCCAACCGACTGAAAGAAAATTTTGGTGTTTTTTCTTTTTGTTTAATTCTTCTGTCTTAAAAGATGTGCTTGGTTTGGACCATATTTTAGTATGTCCTAAACAAATGCATTGTAACAAATTGACATAGGGCATAATCATCAAGCTAAAGGGTATTTTGTTACAAGCTCTGCATTCTGTTTCGACGACAAATCATCGCCAAAAGAAAAAAAAAAGACAAAACAAACAGTTTTTATCCTGAATTCGTACCCGAGTGTTTGTTGGCCGCAAGCTGCCGGCCTGCCTTTAGCAGTAGTAGAGTCGCCGGTAGCTGAGCAGCCGCAAATCCGATCATAACAAGTAGCTGCGTATTGAAACTACTAGCTAGAACACTCTTCGCCTCATCCTGTAGATGGGGAGATAGGCTTTTTATCGATTTCACATTCTCAAGGAATAAGTGCAGTTCGTGCGACGTCATAAGACCGTGCAAACGCTTCGATAGACGGCCATTTAATATGTTAGATGCAATGGCAAGACCGATAGCACCGCCAAGAAAACGGATCTGGACCACGGTACCAGTGGCAATGGCTGCAACGAAAAGCGATGGACCAGTTAGTCAATATAAAATCACCTTGATATCAAGGAGTTTCTCGGAGGAACACATACCCAGGTCCCTGTCCTCGACTATATATGGCGTGGATAGCACCAGGACACCCATTGTCAGACCCATTCCTGTCCCAGCAATGACTAGATATCCAATATCGGTTGCGTGGAAGCCCCTAGAATTGGCAATGGTCGAGAGAAGCCCGATGCCGACTGTATGAACGGTACAGCCCACGAGTAGAGTATAAATAAACGGGATGCGTCCCCTAGCACTGGCGATATTGATAATAGCCGCGGCAACTGCGGCAATCGCAGAATACCCTATCAAATAGATACCGGCGTCCAAAGGTGACTTATCTAACAGAAGCTGGGCTTGTTGTGGAACATATACTAGGACGACGTTGTATGGTGCGCCGATGACAAACGAAGAACTAAAAGTATGTCAGAAGGAATCGCAGGATAACTTTAAATGGACTCACATAAGTATTCCCAGCCATGGACGATCAAAAAGCCAACGCTTAGGAAATATGGGGTCTTTGCCCGGGATGCCCGAGATATACCATTCCCAGGCAAAGAAAGCGATCCAGGAAACCCCCGTGAGCACAAGGAGCGCAATTGCGTCCCGCGAGGACCATGAGAACGCCAGATTGGTTTCATTCAAGACGGCGACTATTAAAAACGAGCCAGCCATCATCAAAAGCGATCCCATTATATCAAGATTAGCAAATGAGCGGTATGAGGCTCGTGTTCGAAATGAAGGAGTGTGCTGATCAAGGCCAAAGTGTTTTGGCATCGCGACGATGATAACAACGATCGCAATAACACACAACGGTGCACTAATGATTCTGATTAGCATACTTCTCAACACAGATGCCGAGCATTCACATACTTGACGAAAAAGGTCCACCGCCAGGCCGAGTCCCGTGCAAGAGCACCGCCAATTATCGGGCCTATCAAGGATGCAAAAACAAGACAAAATGACATGAGACTGCTGTAGATCGGAAGCTTCGTTTTGGGAGTTATCTCGTAGACGCATAAGATTGTCAAGGCGTATGTACCAGCGCCTCCAATTCCCTGGAGTGCTCGGAATATTATCCTGCCTCAATAGTTAGTCCTTGGACATAAATGAGTGCAGAACTACGTTAGACCTACAGTTGGTTAACTGTCTGAGCAAACCCACACCCAAAAGAAAATGCAAGCAGGATAACAAGAGCCGTGATAGTAGTTTGCTTCCTGCCCACTATATCGCTGACTTTTGTCCATATTGCCATAGACCCTGGGAGCAATGCGACATCAGTAATGAGAGAGATAGAGACTGGTGCGTAAGGAAGCTCTATTTCAGGATAGATATATGATTGGAGGGAGAGAAAAAAAAATCAATCCAAAGGGAGGAGGAATCATTATAGTATATCATATCGGATCATACCTGTGTAGGTGGCCAGATATCCAGTAATAATCCAGCTTCTCTTCTCGAAGCCTTGTAGGTCATCTGTGATGCCCGTGAGAGCCGAGCTTACAATTGTGACATCCAAATTAGAGAGAAAAAATCCAATCAAGAGTCTAATATATCGTCAACTTTCATCATCCAACCCCTGATGGCACTTGACTGAGCACATACCCTGTGGTGGTAAGCACCAGTCTCCATCCTGTCGGGTAAACAATTTCATTTCCTGGGGATGGTGCTCTTTGTGCCGACCCCTTTTCTTGACTGAGCCCCCTAGCGCGGCCTTTGCTAGCTTTGTTCGAGGTCGGCTCTGCGAACTTGATGTGGCTAGACATGTCGGCCTCTCAACGATGGGTTGTGGTTCAAGAGTAGGTGAAGACTGGAGTGACAGCCATTGTTGCAAGAAAGTTTTGAACGTGACCACTGTCTATGTAGGACCAAGCCCCGCGTATCTTCACCCCAGGGGCTTTATGTGGAACGCAGGGGACGCGCGATGACAGAATGTGGAATATTTACATGCATAAAAAGAGTGATCTGCGTCGATCATTGAACCTAGATACGCTGGATTGGACATGGCTTGGCATAAATTTGCTTTTCTAGGGCATTCGCGACCGAATTTGGAAAAATATGAACTGGTTTTTCTGTCCTTTTGAGGTTATTAGTCTCCGTCTTTTTGACTGCGACATGGTCTGGAAGGGAGCGAGGGCCTCAATCCATGATGATGATCATTAGTCTCATGCGTTTTATTTTCGTTATCCGAGACAGATTCTCCTTGCTTAGGGCTGACTATGCGTCGAAGTCCACAAAGATATAGAGTGGGAAGATCACAACTACGTTATATTTGGCCTAGAGATACCACTGAGACACATCAATTTGACTGCGATTCTATTATCATTGTGTCTAGCTTTTCGTATGCGAGGGTGGTAGAATCAACGGAGGGAATTAAAAAGGGAGGGTAGGCGCACAGGCCAAGGTTTCATCGATGCTCTTCAGGGTTGACATATGGAATCAAGGTCCCATCGATATCAACCTGGTTCTCGATGACCAGATCCCCCAGAACTCTTTTCCGATAGTCTCTCCATTGGCCTCCAGAACTGCACGCGGAATTGCCCGATATTGAATTCGATTGAGACAGGCCCTCTGGCCTAGTATGATGCCGGAACGCATGTTTGGAACAAATTCTTTGTTCACAACCAACGCCATAGTATCGTGTTGGATTAAGGTATTAGAGAATTCGAATATAAAGCTAACTTGGAATCGAGCCTTATTCTCGTTCCGATAGGGGTCGTGAATAGGATCTGATAAGTGTGTCCTGAATTCGTCCGAGAGGATATCAGCTGTGACGATTGTTACAGCCGTACCAGTACCGGTATCCCAAAGCATTTCGATCCAAGCCAATTCGCACTCTGGCATACCGTCATCGAAATCGACTGCAGTCAGCGAAACATTTGCAACAACTGTTGCTAGGGTATCTTCTAATAGTAACGGACGAAGGTTAAGGGCATAGGCTCTTAGTGGCAGCATTCTATTTTCTTCGCCATCAAACTCCTTTTTGAATAAGGCACGATGCTCGGGGAGATTGGTTTTGGTTTGTGGTTAGCGCTTTACCTTTTTACCTGATTTAAATCCTATTAAGGAGGTATAGACACTAGTGACTAGATAAAGGATTAGTTACTAAGAGAGTAAGATAGTAAGAAATTGAGAGTTAGGAGTGCAAAGAGCCCTGTTTTTAAAACATGATTATAGTACTCATTTGTATCATAATAACCCTAAGCTCCTTAAAGGAATTAAGAGTCTTTAGTAGTATGTCTAAGAGTATTATTGTATATAACAATCGGATCTTACACCCTTCTTAGACGGAAGAAGCCTTTTATCACAATACGTATAATATAGGATTCACTATATTGGTGTAGGGTCTTCTAAAGTGAATTGAATCTGAATTGAATCTGAATTGAATTATAGAGAGGGTAGTTGAAGGAGAAAGAATTCAAAATAATAGCCATACATGTTCAATACAATACGCTAAATTGAATTAGAAAGAAAATTGGTAGATCTCTTGGCCGCTAGTTTAGGGGTGGGTGAATCTTTATAGTTAGGCCAAACAATCACTCAGTCGACGCCTGAGGCAGCCAAACAATTCACCACTTTTCATGACTATGGGCATCTCTACAGATTATATAGCTCCTCCATCTCTGTCATTGCATATCTTTTTTTTTTACCAGCTTTCCAAGGTTGTAAGATCATCGGAAGCTGTTGGAACTTTTGGACCTTCGGACTCCGGACTCCAGCTTTGCCCCACTTAGCCCGCCCTCTAGGCTTTCCACGTTCCTTCTGGACGTTGTCTTCCAATGATATATGTTTAGACCTGTCTACAGAAGTAACCAAAGACCGTTTTTAGAAGGTACAGCCGAACCCTATAGGGAGCCTCATTTATTTTCCAAATCCCGAAATCCCGCCATTGGTATAAATCGGCCAGATTCGAGACTATTTGATATCCCCCAAGACACACATTTCAGCCATGCAGAACCAATTCCAAGAAAACCTATGGAAGGCTGCCCAGGGACCTTGGAACTCGGGAGTTATCCCTAGCGCCGAGAATCTGGCGCGAGCTAGAGCTTCTCTCCCCGCGACACTTTCAGATACAGGATCTAGTCTCGCATCTGTCCAGCGACATATTGTCGATGATATTGTCCCGGCATTCAATGGAGGAAGCCTAAGTGCCAACTACTATGGCTTCATCACTGGCGGAACTACCCCGGCTGCGCTTTTCGCGGACAATGTTGTGTCTGTTTATGACCAGAATGTCCAGGTGCATCTCCCTAACCACTCGATTGTCACCGATGTGGAGTACAACGCACTTGGTCTCCTTTTGGATCTTTTCAAACTAGAGCGTTCTATCTGGCATAATGGAACGTTCACAACCGGTGCCACGGGAAGCAATATCCTCGGCCTAGCATGTGGGCGCGAGTTTATTTTACAAAAGGCGGCGGAGAGAAAAGGCTGTCATCTCCAGAGCGTTGGTGAAGAGGGCCTATTCGAGGTATTGAACGCACTGGGTCTTTCTGGGGTGCAAGTGTTATCCACGCTGCCACACTCGTCCGTCGTGAAGGCAGCTGGTGTGCTAGGCATCGGTCGTTCTAACGTGCACAACATCTGCCGAGCCGATGATCCGCTCCGCTTCGATATTGGTAAACTTCAGAAAGAACTTGCGAGAACAGACAAGGTCAGCATCGTTGCGATATCTTGCGGGGAGGTCAATACTGGTCGTTTTGCGACAAGCAGTGCGGAGTTGAGAGAAATACGCCAGCTGTGCGACAAATACGGAGCCTGGATGCATGCTGATGGAGCATTTGGTATCTTTGGTCGTGTTCTTGATGACAGCCCAGAGTTTGCAACAATCAAGCAGGGCAGTGAAGGGATCGAACTGGTCGACTCGATTACCGGTGACGGCCATAAGCTCCTCAACGTTCCATATGATTGTGGTTTCTTCTTTACTCGGCACCCGAATGTGGCATCGCAAGTATTCCAAAATGCAAATGCAGCATACTTAACTGCTGGAAACTCCGATGGGCCTTCCATCCCCTCGCCTTTGAACATTGGAATTGAGAACTCTCGTCGATTCAGAGCGTTGCCGGTGTATGCATCGCTCTTGGCATATGGGAAGTCTGGATATCAAGAAATGCTAGAGCGTCAGACAAGGCTCGCCCGGAAAATCTACGGATGGATCTTTGAGCATCCTGGGTATACAGCTTTGCCAGTAGCAACATCCAAATCTGAACTACTCGATCAGACATTTATGTCTGTTTTGTTTCGTGCAAATGATGAGGGCTTGAACGGCGAGTTAGGAAGCAAGATCAACGAGAGCTCGCGAATGTTCGTTTCGGGTACCAGCTGGGATGGGTCCCCTGCTTGCCGCATTGCAATCTCGAATTGGCGAGTTGATGTAGAGCGAGACTTTGCGCTGGTGACAGATGTGTTGGCGAAGGTTGCCCAGAGCTAGAAAAATAATAACTAATATGTGAACATAAGAAGGGTAGGCTTAGGATCTCAACAATTGGATATTCAATGCATAAATATTTCTTTTGGCATCTCTATAGAGGGTATCAGCGGCGACGACCAGCCCCTCCCATATTCTCAGTACGGTCAGACATGCTAACAACCTCTCCGATACCAGCGGCTTCTTGCTCATCTTCCAGAGCCATGATCTCCTCTCGGCTATCCCACCACTTTTCTTCGGCCATAGAGAACGCTGCCTTGCGCAGTTCCTTGATTGACTTCTCACCAGACTGTTCCTTCCCCTTAACAATTTCCATCATGATATTCTGCCATTCTTCAGAAGTGCGGCTGAAGAACTCTCGCAAGCTCTCGAACGGCCGAGGCAAGGGTCGATTGTCATTGACATTTTGCTCCTCTGGCTCCTCAACTTCGAGTTGTTCCAGGTCCTTGGTAACAGATGGCACCGTGACATCTGTTGAAACAGGTGAAGGAGCATCAAGAGACATCGCTTCGGCCTCGGCCTCATCGTCTTCATCCACTTCGTCGTCGTCATCTTCGTCATCCATGTCTTCATCACTGTCTTCGGCTTCGTTCAAGATGTGCCAATTCTCAGGCTCCCTGTAGAATATCTCCTTGACGCCGTCCAATTTGACTAGATCAATGGAATACATGTCATCGAAAGTGAACTCCCGATCACCCTTTTCAAAAGTACCGCCAAATATGAATAGGGTATCATCTTGCACTGCTAGCTGGGCATTGAATCGCCGATGAGGCATTTCAAAGCGAACAACTGAGGGCTTTGTGGGCTCCATAGGCTCCTCCTCGGGTTGGGGCGTGCTTGTTTCCATATCGTCATCATCTTCATTGTCTCGAATTCCAACTTTAGCTTCAAGGGCTTTAAGATTTGCCAAAAGCTCTTCCTCGTCCGCCCTGCCCCTATTTTTAGACTTGGCATTTTGATTTGCCTGCTGCTTTTTGCCGGGTGCGCGGGGACGTCGCAGACTCAACGGGAAGAAACGGTTTCTGTCGGTGGTCCAAGCAAAGAGAGTATCGAAGAACTCGCTGTCAATGCCCTCGTCGGTCAGCTCCACGTCGTGAACGCCACCAAACATAATTCCTCGGCCTTTGTGGTATGCCATGGTAGTGCCAACACGGGCCGGATTGGGCGTATTGGCGGGCTTCTTTCGTCGCTCCCATCGGACTGCCGGTACCGTTGACGATGGGGCGTCAGCTGCAGGGGGTGTGATTCTCAAGAACCAAGTATCCTGGTGAACCATGGGCCGGAGAGCCATCTTCTGGGGACCACCACCCTTGCCTTGCTTACCACCACCCGCAGCTGCTTTCACTCGGGAGTAGCCTCCGTAGAGAACAGCTCCGGTCTCGTGCGGTAGCAGAGAGAATGATGAGCGAGGATCGGGCTTTTGGGAAGCAAGGGTTAACGTGGGGTTGGTCCAGGTATACTGATTACAATCATAGATCCACAGGTCCTGCAAGTATTTAGTCTGCTGGGAGGTATCTTGGAATCCACCGAAGAGGATGATGTAGTTCTGTCTCGGTGTTAGCGTTTAACATAAAAGGCATACACTAAAATTGGAAACACATACCTTGAAATAGGTCATGCGGTGACCACTTCTGGCGGGAGGACCTTTGCCTTTAACCTCGAGTCGAGTCCATTCTCTTGTGGCCGTGTCTAAGTGCCAAAAATCATTGTAGTGGTAGAACGTGCCTTGTTTTGGCGACGAGAACTCTCCTGCTGATAGTTAGCCTCGGCACAAAGAATTTTCAATATATCCAGCAAGACAATCTTACCTCCAAACATATAGATGCCTCCGGAGTTTCCTCCACGGCACCATGCATGGCCACTTCGAGGAAGGGGACTGTTGGGACTAGTCACCTCTCTCCATTCGCCGCGATCGATCAAATAGACGAAAAGGTTATTGAAGAAAGTAGCATGCGTCCCGTCAAAGTACTCTCCACCGAAAAGCAGCAGCTCATTTCGGTTCGACGGAGATGCTAGCACGGTTGATGACGAACGTGGGACTGGCGGCTCGGAAGGAACTTCAGTGACCTTCAAGAATTTGGCCTGTTCTTCGGCGTACTGAGCTAGAATGACATCTAGGTCTGCGTCTTCAGCATCGCTGTCTGCATCCTTGCCCTTGGCTTTGGATCTCTTTTCTTTCTGCGCAGACTTCTTTGTCTGCTTTGCCGCTACACGGTCCTTGTGCTCGGCGGACTTCTTATTCTTTTTGCCCATTTTGGCTCAACGTTGGATACAGAAGGTGAGTTTTCGTGATCTTCTTTTTCGTGGGGCAGAAATTATGCCTTTCCCCACACTGAATTGCCCCCTCCAGATCAGATCTACGTCTATAGTAGTATCGCTTGCACCACTTAGTTTTATTTATATGTAAATTTAACAAATATAATAACCTGGGATAAGGATGATAATTATTATACAAATTTAATGATTTTAGTTCAATTTGACCGAGTAACTGTAAGTTGAACGCAGTTGCTGGTTATAGATCGAATTT